GGCATATAGATTGAATAAGTAAGGTGAGAGGATATAACCCTGACACACACTCTTCCTGACTTTAAACCACACAGTATCCCCTTGTTCTATTTGAACAACTGTCTCTTCGTCCACGTACAGGTTCCTCTTGAGCACAATCAAATGTTCTGGAATTTCCATTCTTTACAATGTTATCCATAATTTGTTATGATCCACACAGTCGAATGCCTTTGCAGAATCGATAAAACACAGGTAAACATCCTTCTGGTATTCTCTGCTTTTAGCCAAGATCCATCTGACATCAGAAGTGATATCCCTCGTTCCACATCCTCTTCTGAATCTGGCTTGAATTTCTGGCAGTTCCCTGTCAATATATTGCTGCAACCATTTTTTAATTATCTTCAGCAAAATTTTACTTGAGTGTGATAGTGATGATATTTTTCTATAATTTCCACATTCTGTTGGATCACCTTTCTTTGGAATGGGTACAACCAGTTGGTCGGCCTGGTAGCTGTCTTCCAAGTTTCTTGGCATAGATAAGTGAGCGCTTCCAGCGTTGCCTCCATTTGTTGAAACGTCTCAGTTGGTATTCCGTCAATTCCTGGAGCCTTGTTTATGTGGCCAATATCTTCAGTGCATCCTGGACTTCTTCCTTCAGTGCCATTGGTTCTTGATCATATGCTACCTCCTGAAATGGTTGAACATCGACCAACTCTTTTTGGTATAGTGACTCTGTGTATTCCTTTCATCTTTTTTTTAATGCTTCCTGTATCGTTCAGTATTTTGCCCATAGAGTTTTTCAATATTGCAACTTGAGGCTTGAATTTTTTATTCAGTTCTTTCGGTTTGAGAAAAGCTGAGCACGTTTTTCCCATTTGGTTTTCTAACTCCAGGTCTTTGCACATTTCATTATAATATTTTACTTTGTCTTCTCCAGCCACCCTTTGAAATCTTCTGTTCAGCACTTTTACTTCATCATTTCTTCCATTCGCTTTAGCTACTCTAAGTTCAAGAGCAAGTTTCAGAGTCTCTTCTGACATCCATTTTGGTCTTTTCTTTCTTCGTTTTCTTTTTAATAACCTTTTGCTTTCTTCATGTATGATGTCCTTGATGTCATTCCATAACTCATTTGGACTTCAGTTATTAGTGTTCAATCTGTTAAATCTATTCTTGAGATAGTCTCTAAATTCAGGTGGGATATACTCAAGGTCTTATTTTGGCTCTCGCGGACTTATTTTAATTTTCTGCAGCTTCAGTTTGAACTTGCATATGAGCAATTGATTGTCTGTTCCACAGCTGGCCCCTGGGCTGGTTCTGACTGATGTTATCGAGCTTCTCCATTGTCTCTTTCCACAGATGTAGTTGATTTGATTCCTGTGTATTCCATCTGCTGAGGTCCCCATGTATAGTCTTTGTTTATGTTGTTGAGAAAAGGTATTTGCATGAATAAGTCATTGGTCTTGCAAAATTCTATCATGCTATCTCCAGCGTCATTTCTATCACCAAGGCTATATTTTCCAACTATTGATCCTTCTTCTTTGTTTCCAACTTTTGCATTCCAATCATCAATAATTATCACATTTAGATTTAATAATTACCATGTTCAATTATTGGTGTTTCAATGTAGGATGGTTTAATTATTAGAAAGTTATTTTTTATGCTGAGTCAAAATATATCTCCTCATAACCCATCCCCAGAAGGATCTACCTTCTGCCCAGACTGTCTAGCCTCCTCCATCTATCATTAAAATCTTCTCTTCTCCAAAATACACATCCCCAGTGTCTCCAACCATTCTTCAAAGGACTTGGTTTCTGTGTCCCTTGTCAGCTGTTCTTTGACCTCAGGTTGATTTCTGTTTAATGATCCAGATATTATCTGACGAGGACAAAATATAGGAAGATGTTTGTTTCCTTGTTTAAGACTCCAT